GCAGAGTGCTTTCGTGTCCGACAAATTCTGAGCCAAATCTTTGTACATTTTAAATTTCTCTATAATCACCTAAAATAAAATATTGTTTTCGTTAATAAAAATGCCCAGAATGGTATAAAAACAATGAGGTGATAACTTAAAAAACTTAATAAGAGCCTTTGCGAACTATTTTTCTGATGTAATTGTTATTAATAATCCATTATTTTACATCATATTTTCAGAATATGACAGCCAATAAAAACAGTTGATAATTAATTAAACGTCGTATTGGTTGTACATAAACTTTAAATAATAATACAAGCATACATCAACTTCTTCTTTGGTAAAGCCAAAATAAGCTCTCTCTCTTGGATTGTTTGATGATTTGAAGTGCTGGGATAAGGTCAGTATAATGATCGGGTACATGCTCAACTGAATAACATCAATTTGCACTGGCAGGGAAAATGTTTTGAAACCTGTTGTCATCGTGATGGCAAGAAGTTAAATTAATAAAAAAAACTCTGATTCAGATGTTTGATAATGTTGATACGAGTTTTATTTTTATAAATTTTAAACTTTTATTTGAGTAGAAAATAAAGTAATTTCACATCTTTTCAAATTTTTTATCCCCCCTTTTTTTCTCTCTTTTCTCTCTCTCCCTCTTTTTTCCTCTATTCTTACAGACTCATAAAACTCATAAAACACATCCACAAATGAATGTATCCGTGAAAGATATGTTTGTTGACGTAGATGAATGTAATCACAAATAATAATATCGTCATATGTGCTTATATACCTGGAACTTTCCTAACGAACAACATAATGGTTTTCACATTGTGTGTAAATTTATTCATCTGAGAAGCCCATATAACATCCAGCGTTGAATCCTTGTAGATCCTGTAAGGACATTCCTGAAATTTTTTTTATCCCATGAATATATTCATGACTTAAAATGTAAATAGTGAAGAATAAATTGCTAATATGTTTTAAGAGCAACATCTTTTATTCAATGGATTGAAATATTTTTCATTAAAAAGTTGTGACAATTGTTTTTAGTTGTTATCAGAAATGGTCGGTAAGTCAGCTCAGTGGTCGGCGAGTTAGCTCAGTTGGTAGGAGTGCCTCGTCTCGCGCTGTTATTACGCAATGGCCTGGTTTGTATATTGTCTGTCCGAAACATAAAGACTATCATATGCCACGTGCGTATGATGCGGTGCTTGCACGTGCGAACAAAATTCGACGTACACACACGTCACATGGTGTGGAGGTTACAGCCCTTATGACACAAAAGCTCAAATATGAGTATAGAATAATTTGCAAGCAGTTCTGCTTATGTCAGAGCTGAATAGTAAAGAATAAAAATAAAATGAAATAAAAGATTTTAATTTTAAGGAACCAACTAATATAATAAAAAAATAATTATAATTGCAGATTGAAAAATTATTGATAAAACTAATACATTTCATCTAAAGTAATCCAGCAAATAACGAAAATAACATTTTTGAATTATTTCAACCTGGGCAAGATTAAGCAAGGGGAACTGCAATTTGTTCATGACGTCAATAACTTGGTTGTAGGTGAATGGAGACTCGCGCATAACCAAACCACTCGTGGAATATTGTTTCAGCGCTTCCTGGCCAGAACTCTCCTGCCCTCCTTCCTGCTGAGTACACTTGAAATTAGGTAATGGAAGGCTGTGAGAACTTGACCAGGGACAAATAACCACATCGGAACTTTTGCTAAAATATTCTGTATTCATTCTTCAAAAATAAAAGTTGTTAATTTGTCATAAATGTGCAGAAAAAATTAATGTAAACTGTTGTTACAAACTTTTCCATTTCTGAAAGAGGGCTTCTTCTCTTCACAGATTTTTGACAAGAGCTTTGTTGTCCATTCACTGAGGTCCTACTCATCAGCACGTTCAGCAAATCATATGCTACATATCGAAAATCACTGTGTTGACTCAGCTCTAAATGGAAACATATCATACAATGTGTGTGTTGTGTGTGTGTGTGTTGGCTTGTTAAATGCTTTGTTTAATTAAATGATTTAATTTAATTAATTTGTGTATAATAATTGTTACGTTATATTCACAACTGCGTTTTTTGAAAATTTTAAATTCCTCATTCTTTTTTTGTAATAAAATTTTGTATATCGAATATTTTAAGAATAAAAGCATTAAGCATACACACCTAATAACGTGTTTATCTTCACAGTTTTATCTTGACACTGCCATAACTGATTTGACTCCGAACGACTAACACTAACGTTCGTTGTTGTTGGAAGTTTGTTTGTTGGTTGAAAGGAAGCACTGCAGCCCGTCACCACAACATTCCATGTGTTTTCTTCAGTTCTAGCAAAACTTGCTGCTGGAAAACTCAGTCTGTTGGTTTCCATCTCATCGCTCAGGACTGCAGATACATCGTGTGGTAATGGCTTCCAGCGTTGATAATATGGAGAAGTTGTAAGAGACGTGTATAGTTTTGAAGTGCCAGTTTTTAAACTCCTGGTCTGGTTGACATGACTTGGCAGTGAAATGTAAAAAAATAAATTGCAATTTGGTTGAAGTTATATTTTTAATTTTGTATTTATATTGTTATATTACTGTTATGATAATTTATGGAAAAAATATGCGCTATTTCAATGTTAGAAAATCAATTTAGTGTCAACTGCAGAACTGAAAACAACGCTCAAAGTTATAATAATAAATTATATAATGAACAAATTGACCGGAGAGTACAAGCCTGGTTAGCAACATAAAAACACATATGGCGCGATGGCGTAATGGTTAAAGTGCCTGGCGATGTTGATGCAGTGTCCTGATTTGAATGTAAAGAGACCCCACCCTATGCCAAAATCCTTAACAGACTTACAATACCATATACATCATGTTGCTTTTCCCATAAAAAAACTGGTTTGAATAAAATTGTTTATTTTGTTAAATATTAGACCGACTCCCTTATAACAAATAATTTTTTTTAAATCATCGGCTCTTTATCAAAACAATGCAGGTACAACAAGCATTTAAGAAATTAAAAAAAGACGTTTAAATGGTTACCTCTCATAATCTACACTGGTTTTGGTAATGTCTTCACTGGTTGAAAATCTTGACTGCTTGACAAAATTTATGTGAGAAATATTTTGTTTCGGTGTTGAGGCCCAATTTTTAAATGAATAAAACAACTAATTTAATTTATTTTGGAAACGTACTCCATTATCTTAAACAGACGATCGAAACTCAAATTTACTTACAATTTTTTGTCCAATTAAGTTGTCAAAAGGTGGCATTTGATAAAACTTTATAAATAGAAAAAGAATTTTTTCACTAACATGACATAAGAACGCATTCATTTCATCAAGCCCAACAAAGAAATTGTGTCTTCTCTGATTACTCTGGCCACTGGAAACATTGAAATTTGGCATGTTCACCAACCTCCCAATTTCAGAACTTGCAGCTGCATCTGTAAAATTCAAAAAATGTTAAGGCTTTTGGAAATGATTAACGAATCTACTTGCATAACGTAATTAATGTTTAGTTTTGTAAATCTCTAGAAAGACTACACACAAATATAAAGTTGATTGAATGGGACTAATTGAACCGAGTTCAAACGTTTGCATGCATTAAATTTAAAATACGATGTTAGATATGTACAGTACACAAGTGCAATAAATATTGTTAACAGAGTGAACTTTATCTAAAACTTTTACTAAATCTTTAGTATAATGTCTGGTAAGCATTGCAGCAATGCAGCCAAAGTTGTTTCAGAAAATGTTTTCAAAACCTGCACCGTCAGTACTAAAATGAAAGGGTTTTAAGCATGATTGAATTCAAGAGCGGATTTGTGTGTTGCATTGTTAAATGATGCTATGGTCGGTAACATTTTCAACCGTTCTTCAAATGCTGCAGAAATTTAAAACAATAGAAAAATTTTCCCTGAAAGAAAAATTTTTTCAAAGTACTTAAAAAATGACTGACTCAAAAAGTTGATCTGTTTAGCTTAAATCTAACTTTTGAAATTTTAAAAATTTTGTTAAAATTATTACTTACACTCATTTTTAAATTTCAACGAAAATTCAATAAAATATACTGGCGAAAATGTGAACAATCTGGATGGGAATAAGATTAAAATTAGAATTTGATCGGCGACGAGTAAATAACGATTAAAAAGTAGTTCATTGCTTAAAAGCGTAAGCAATACATTTAATGCAAATCTTATATATGAAGAGAGACGTTGGTGTTTTCGTGTGGCCTCGTCTTCAACGGAACATCGCCGAACTGCGAAACAACGCAAAATTCTTGATTAGTTTGACAATAAAATACAAACAAAATATAAAAGGTTTAAAAGGTTTATTTATAACAATAAAATTTATTTTTTTTTGAAAAAATATTTTTTTTAAATAAATTTTTTGAAACAAAAAGTGACAGATTACGTCGGTTTGAAAAAATGAGTTGACCATGCGAGAACAACTTCAAATGAAAGCTTGATGGATGACGTTCTGCATTTCTGCTATGCATAGCATATCATAACGATGTATTAAAGGACATAATTCATAAAACTGAGTCAATTCATTTCTTAATAACTCAACTCATTTTATAGTCTGTTTTGGTAGCACCTATTTAGGTTTCTGCCTGCTACTGGTCACCAGTAACAAACTTTGTATTAACTAATATCGTCAGAATATTTTGAAATTTGTCACGTCACAAACAGATGGTCCCAATTAAAAATGATTACAATTTTGAGCACAACCTGAAGGCGCATGAGCAGGCATGGATTTGTTGAACGTCTCAACATCTCCCCAACTTGCTTGAACCTCAAACTGATTTGTTTTCTTCAAATTTAAATTTAATAATTTCTCAGATAAGTTAGAACTTTGTTTGGCCTGTGCATTGGTGATTGGATTGGTGCTAACGGAAAGGATCCCAAGTTTTTTCAACTCCAGTTGAGTGTTGTGTTTGAAATGATTTGTTTGCCGTCCAATGCGACTTTCTGTAATCGTTCACAATTTTTCAATCAAGTTTTTTAGAGATATAAAATTGTTGATTGAAACCAACTTTCTGGCATCATTCCGACGTCTTGGCATTTCTGGTACCTGCAGAACTTGCAAACGTTTCTCGTCTTCCACGTCACGTCGCAGTTGTTATCGTTCGTGCAGTGAAACTTCGCCGTGTCGTATTTTTTCACACATCGTCTATAGAAGCCCTTAATGTTGAAAAATTTATTTCGCGAATATTAAAAGGCTTCTTTTTGTGCACCTTCCGTTTTAAATTTGAAATAATTTGAACATGAAATTATTTTCCACGTTATTATGTGAGATTTTTCAAAAAATAAAATTAATTTATTTATTTTCTACGGTTCATTAAATATTATATTAATATTATTCATTACAATGTGTAACTATTAAAACATTGGAAATACGACAAAGCTTACATATATATATATATATGCCAAAAAACCATACAAATTGATACGATGAATGAGTTTTGTACAGCAGCAGTTAATTACCCCCTGCAAGATCAGCAACAATTTAGAGAGAAGATTTTGTGTCGCACCTAGGAACATTTCTCATTTACATCTAAATAATGTTTTCATTGTTATTTTATAACACATTGGATTAAATAAATTTAGAGAAATAGCACATTTCCTTTTGTTTCACTTGCAAGTTTTTTTTTTGAATCATATGCGTTTAGAAGCAGCAGCAGACGCACTGCAAACCTCCTTCCTACCTGCGACTGCAAACAAACAAAATTTTTTTGAATTTTTCACTCAAAATCTTCCATGGGCATCGTTAATATTTTTCATCATAAAATTTTTTGGGAAAGTTTTCATGCAAAAAGGTTGTTAATAAAACATAATGCGCAATAATTTTCAAAGCAATTGATGAACGACTATAATTTATATTTCACTTTTGTACCAGGTATTACAATATAACATAATGGAATCAAATTACTTAAAACTGCGATTGTTTTGTTGCTGTCCTACATTACACATGTTTTTCTTTTTCTTATTATTGTTATTATTTATTATTATATTCATCATAATCATCATCATCCTTAGCGCTATTATATTATTAAAGCATAATATAGATAGAGTAATGTATTGTAATCACCTTGCATCCTTCACATGTGGTCACTCCAAAGTGGAAACCTGATGATGGCGCACCGCAGACCTTGCAAGGAATGCAGTTGATGTCTTCTGATACCTTACGTCCACCTAGTAGTATCGTTTGTTTGTTTGTTTGTTCGTTTGTTGTTCGTTTGTTTGTTTGTTGTGTTGTCGACAGTCGCGCGCTAAATTTGTAGAATTTTGAATTACCAAATTGTTCAACAACGCAAAAAGTTTTGCAGTATCTTGTTGATTTAAAATAATGTTTCTTTCTAAAAAATGGCATGTTTTCAAAGAGGTGGGTGGTCATGAAATTTGTTACACTTTGTGACAGAATGAAAAAGGAAAAAAAAAGATTATGCTACTTCCCCTTTTTTGCGAAAATTAATTGAAACTAAAAACATTGTGGTGAAAATAAAAGTTTATAATAAATAGCTTGCCAAATGAGTGTTGACATGTTATTTATTTAAAGAATTATGAGCGCAAAAAATAAATCTTCCCCGTGCTTCAGGTTAGTATTGTACCGGACGTGTTCAATCGCACTTTGATTGGATATCAAATTTTACATCTCTGTTTTACAATTCCGAACACGCTTGCCACTACGTTGACCTGGCACGAAAGCAACGAGAACTTTGATCATTTTAAGTTTGTGATGGGTTCTTTCAGACACAAATTTATAATGCACGCATGCTGAATATTAAACTTTAATTTATTAGAATCGCCAAGAATAAAATTTGATAAACATATTTGATAATATTTTTCTAATAACTGTTACAGTTGCCGATAACTTAGATGAAATATGAACATTGAAAAAGTAGATTTCTGCAAACCACCAAGTCAAAACACACCTGGTCCATACATGTTGAGTGAGATGCATTTTTCATATCTGCATTTCGAGCATTGTGTTCTTGTTGTTTTATTTATGACGCATTTGCCATCTTTCGTACAAACGGCTCTAAATTTTTCTTTCATTTGCAGACAACGGACGAAAAATTTCTATTAGGATATTAAAAAACATTTATTATTATGAATTCAAGGTTGTTTCATTTTCCTAACAACAACATTATTTGAAAAAGTTTACAGAGTTTTTAGTGAATCTAACTTTTGGATATCATGGTTTAGGTTTGAAACTTTTTGAAATGCAATTTAATTACGAAGAGTTACAAAATTTCGCGAGTTGAAAATCTTGAAATGTGCGGCTTCTATTTCAATGTTTGGTTCATTCTTTATTCGTTACAAGCGAATGAATCTGATCAATCTTTTTATTAACGCAAGTATAATTTTAATTAGAATCAATTCAAGTTTTTGATAATTTGGGGAAAATAATTTTTGAATAAATAAGGTAGAGAAGCTGATGCCACTAAACAAACAGTTAAGATCTGATCCATGGGCAGCATCATGTCATTACATGATTCTTATACAATATTCAAAATAACATTTCTTCCAAACCATACTTTAATTTACTTTGTCGAGCATTACAAAAGTAGTGTAAATAAACTGATTATGAATCACACGTTTGGTATATTTTGTCGTAAACAAACATATCCACACGGAATTTTTTTTATATTTTTGACAATTTTTGTCAAACAGCAATAAAACCCCAATAGTCCGTCTGTCAAAAGTTTTATGAAAAATGTTTTTAGAATATTTTAACACAAAAGACTCAACTTTAAATAATAATCTGAAACAGAAAACCGCAGTTAAAACTTTCTTGAACGACACCCTCAAACAAAAAGAAACGTATGAGACGCCTGAGGCATAAATTACTTTATTTCGGGCTTTTGAAAACCTTTGCTTCATCTTAGGCTTTCATTTTTTTATGTCTTAAAATTTTTTCGGGTTTTCTGGTTTTCGAGGTTTTTCTCAAGTTCAAATAAATCTATTGAAATCTAATACCAAGAAAACCAGAAGATTTTGACAGAACAAATCAATAACATGTACAATGTCACCAAACCAACAAAAAATTTTCAAAACAAAATTGATCGCGTGTGTTTTTTTTAATTTCAATGCGTGTTTTGACGATATAATTGTCACGATAGCTAAGATTATTGAAATAAGTCAGGTGCATAAATCAGTTTGTTTTTAGAAAACAACTGAACGGAAGTTGTAGTTCATTTTTTAATGCACTTTTGGATTATTTAAACATTTTTGTAATTGGTTTTTTTCTGCTTAAAATTTTCCGTTCATGATTTTTTATCCATAAAGTTTTTTTCCTGTTATTTTGAACTTCATCTGTAAATTCTAAGGTAAATGATTTCATGCGGTTATGGTTTGTTAGTTTCACAGTCTTTCTTTCACTCGATGGTTACTAGTTTCAGATAATTTTTGACACTCCAAAGACATTCCATATGAACGTTAATTCGACGAAGTTCATGGCACAATTATGTGCACCGTTTAACAGATTTAGCAAGAATTATTTGAAATGTTAGTCAATTTTGAAGTTTTTACAAAATATGAATTTTATTAAATATAAGAAATGAGGTTGAGTGTGTAGCGTACCTTGCAAGCCTCGCAAACAAATGCGCCACAATAGAAACCTGACGAAACATCAGCGCAGACATCACACAGTGAAGACTGCGTTCTGGTCGTTGCTTCGTTGGACGGATTTTCTTCGAAGTTTGCTGTTGGGAAGTCTGGTTGTTCTTCTTCTTGAGTTGACATCTTTTTGATGTTATCTTCTGACTTTTCAATCTTGTAAATAAGAATTTCAAACTAAAATAGTTATATAAATTAGCATTAATATTTACAAATATATTCAATTTCAATCTTCCTAGCATATTAAAACGTTTGTAAATGTATTACAATTTCAATAGCAACTAAAATATTGTTAGATCTGTTAATGTTTAAAACTCAATCATTCAAATTTAACAATTTTATTTAACCACCAGTATAGTGATTTTATTAATAAGTAGAAACAAACAAGTATAAAATAATTTAGTAATAATTAGAATCTTTTATGCCCGGAGTTTTTTCTAATTTAAAAGTGGCGCTACAAATTCTGCTAGAATATCTGCTGGCATATCAATATCTATAGCAACTTGTGAGAGAATTAAGACTAAACTGTTTAGGAGCTACGAGAAGCCAACAGCATTTGTGTAACTTAGCGTTCGTCAACATCGAAAAATGAGCAGTTTGAAAAAACACAAAAATGTTTGCTTCTGCAAACGCCAAAATATTTGGCATTTTATGAATTTTGCCACCAATTTTTGACACATTTTCTTTAATGCAAAGTAACTATTTTGGTTTAAATTTATTTCGCTACGGTTTTACATTTTTATACGTCAGAGCCATGAGAAACTCTTACACGCACTAGGTTTGGGCTGCAAATTTGTTGCAAATGTTTCCACAACGAAAATATCCATCACTCGCGCAACATTGCTTTTGTTGATTTTCTTTATTCAAGCTTTTGTTGCTGCTGATTATCAGACTTTAAAATTAAATAAATAAATCAACTTACATTTTGTTTTTATTATTTATATATTGTTCAAAATTTTGTATTATTTGCACTCGACGCGATGCACAGCAAAGAACACATTGTAAGTACTACCAAGCCATTGACACCAGGAATTAATCAAGGACAAATGCCATTCAGTCAAACAAATGAAATACAGGCACTTATGTCCGATATGATTGAAATTGATCAGAAAACTTATATGAACTTTTATATCAGAACTATTTAGCAATGTTTTTCAACATTTTATTGAGTGTATAAAAAGATTGTTTTTTTTCGACATATCGTTTGCACCAATATTTCTGTTTCCCTATAAAAGATTGCCATGGACAGGCTATATGTTAAGTTGGAGCATACATGATGTTTAATCTATAAGTTTGAAAAACAACCGCAAAGATTTGAATTATTTTTAACAAATATGAAATCACTATATTCAGTGAAAATTTTCATTAAATAGATAATTGAATGGCTAAACAATTTTATTTAACTTTGCTAGACTGTATTGAAAGTTTAACCATATGAATTACATTTGTCTATACTAACTCAATAAAAAAAACATTGAAATAACGTGCCACTTTTGATAAGAAAACAGACCACAACCACAAACAAACAAGCAGGCACCTACCTACCAACTCCACAAAGCAGCAACCCCGTGGAGACACGCTTTAAGGACAACAATCATGTATTTAATTCAGTTCTCTGGACGAAAAATTCTTTATATATATTTATATGGTATGTGTGTATGTATGTATGTGTGTATGTATGTGTGTGTGTATGTATGTGTGTATGTATGTATGTGTGTATGTATGTATGTGTGAATGTATGTATGTATGAACCCGTTTTGAATATGTATGTATGTATATATATACATATATATATTGTAAAGGCTGGAAGGAGATCATAATTGATGCATTATTTGATAAATCTATCGAATTTTTATTTGTAGTATTATATTATATTGACATGCTAATGTCCACAGAGATGTTCACGCTAACATGCTTGTTATTGTCTCTTTTTCAAGCATCATTTCTTGGAATCGTCTTTGTACGATCAATATGTCATGTGCATGTTCGTATATTTTGCTAATTATGAGGCAGATTTGCTTTCTTTGCAAAAAATTGCTTGCTATCGTGCAGTAACAGCAGTTGAAAATATTGAAACGTCGACGTCAGCATTTGTGCGTTTCGATGAAAAGTTTCCATTTTAAGTAACTATGAAAAACAGTTACATTGACTGATTTTTAGTGTTTTTTTTTAATATTTTTCATTTAGTAGTGATAAGATAAAATGAAATTATAATTCAAACGTTGAAAAATTTTGCGAAATTTTCTTGGGAGTCAGAAAATTTTTTACTCCGAGTCGGATTGTTTTGAGGGGCCGGACAATATACTGTTTACAAGTCTTCGCTTCAGAAACAAACTCTAGGCAACTATCCAACTTCAGCGGTGGATTAAATTTGACCTGTAGGCAGTTTATAGCGGGATCAGTTCACTGAGTGGCAGTCGTGGATCCAGAATTTCGCGGTGTGGGGAGATGATTTTAAAGTATGAAAGCTGATGACATTTTTTGCAAATTTTCCCTTCGTGAGGGGGGTGAATTTAAAAATTCCCAAGTTTATTAACTTTATTTTGCTAATTTACGTTTACTTTCTTACTATATTTTACGCAGAATCTTCCTTCTGGACCTGCCACTTCACAGTGCTGATTCGAAAGCACATGAAGGTATAGATGTACAGCAGCGATAAATGACAGAATGCATAGCATTGACGATACCGATCATAATATTTTGTATTGTCTGTTATCAAGTTATAAATTCATATGAATATTAGATCGTGTGGATCTTATGGCATTTCGTCAGCGTGTTAATAAAAGGATTCAATGTAGTAATATATAATATTATCCTCAAGGTTAATAACATCATTTGCAATAAAATAAACTAACAGGAAAAAATAATTTAATGTGATTGGTTACATCAAAGAAATAAAGTACGTAAAGTCGAGGGGTACCGTTACGTAACGCCGTTGATAAGTTTTGGTGAACTTATATTGGACAGCATTTGTTTAATTCGCAGTTGAAATTTTTCTATTGATTTAACTTTTCGTGAAATGCTCGCCAATAAATAAATGGCCTGTTAAAATAGGGTTACTAAGCCAAGTGGCCATGATAATATGGATCTTAAAAGCTTACAGAAAATCAACAACAAAATCAGGCAAGTTTGACAAAATTTTTACAAAAAAAATTGTATCTTAAACGTAATAATTGATATAAATGACTTAAAATACAGAAAATAACCTTGAATATACTTCGGAAATTACAATACAATAAATAAAATAATGATAATAAACAAAGTCAAAAGCAAAACTCCGATTACAATCCACTGCCGTCGATCTGGAAATAAAATTTCATTTCCAATGAATTTTATCAATCTATAGCCCTTCCAAATAATTTTAAGGCAATTTCAGAAGTTTTATTACAAAAATCGAAAAATGGTAGTTGTTAATAAATTTTTAAAAATTGGTATTTCTAAAAAAATATTTTGCTGCAAGGTGGAAAAAAGTTGCTGGAAAAGCTACACGCTCACCCACATCCAGCCCTACTTAAATAAAATCCCTACATCAGCTCCAACAAAAAATGTCATTAAGAATAGAACTTGTTGGAATAGAACTAATAATAAAAACCGCACAAACCGTTGGACATGTGTAAAACTTTGGACATTTTCTTCATGACGTTGTCTAATTTTGAGTTCGTGGAATCCATTTTATCAGCAAAATCATCCAACATCCTAGCAAATCAAATAATTTGTTATTAGTCATTAAAAATCCTAACAACACACATCAATTTAATCTTCATTACCAGTTTTTAACAGTAACTGTTTCATAAATTACAAAAAAATTAGCTAGCTTCTCTAAGGTGCATATCAAGGAAGCATCTCTGACACAAGTGTGCATCATGAATAGCAAACATTAATTTGTGATGTGTTGATAGATATGTGCCTACTCGTAAATAACAAATATGAATTAATTTATAAATGTGGATGCATTAATAAATAAAAAACTAATAACACAGCTTGTTCGTCGAGTTCATTGCCAATCTGACTGCTCATCATTTTGAGGCTGTTGACACTGTTTCCAATGTTGTGCAGCTGGCTGTCTTGTTCCTTCATTATCATCTACAATGCTCATTCAGAAACGATGAAATGTTTATAATGATTACAAATATCAAACATTTTGAAAATTATTCAAAAGAATTGAGAGCTCAATTGGACCTGCTGTCTCTGGATTGTATCATCTATCGTACGTTCACTCTCTAAATCATCCATGTTCAGTTTGGTGTAGTTGAATCTCTGTCCAAATCCTGGCAAGTTCTTGTTCGATAGTCGATACTGCTGAATGACGGTATAAAAACGTAAAGATATAAATTATAAACAAGAGAAAATGATGACAAAGAGCAAAAAAATCATTCATGAGTTAATGAGTTAATGAATAGCATAGAAAGATGAAATAACAGGTTTGTGAGGAATGGTCTCCACTTTTTCACTGCTGACTGGCTGTTCCATTTTTTCTTTGATGTCCTGCAAAGAACATCAATTTAATTATTTAATTAATAACAAATACAAGTTAGCATGTTGAAAAATTCATAAAAACTGTTTTCAATGTGAAGTAAATGATAAAAAAAATAAATTTTAATCCCAAAATGCAGCATAACAATGCTTACCTCAACAATAGCTTTTGTAGATGTTATAAACTGCCTTCTACTGTCCAATTCTAATGGATCCAAATTAAATTTTTTCTGATTTTTTTCAGCAATTTCTAAAAATAAAAAGAATAACACTTTAGTAATGTTAATAATTAAGATGGAAATAAACCAGTTTTATTTATTACAAAAACAATTTTCATGTTATATAAAAACATAAAATATTAGAATCAAAATGTAAATTATTAAAATAATTACTTATTGTGTCCTCCAGATCATCGAGATCCCACTCGACACTCTTCAAATTATTCCTCAATTCATCGGATATCCTGTGCAGTTCATCTCCACTTCCATCCGTGTTTCGTAGTTTTTTCCACAATGAATAAAGAGAGTTGACTGAATTTAATGTTTTTTCAACTTCTCTAATTGGAAAATTAAGTAAAAAATGATTTAACTGAAAGATTTAATTATAATAGAAATTTAGTATTAAAAGATGAGGTTATGAAAAAAAATGTTTTTTTTAAATTTGAACAGTACCATGCAGTAACAGTACAGTACAAGTATAGCACAAGTACATGATACAGTTAGTCAGTAAGTTTACTAGTTTAGTTAGTATTTACAAACAGAAAAGAGAGGCAGAGGAGAAGAGATGAGACCAAAAAAAGACAATTAATAGCAAGTAATTCATTTACTTTAGCGATATCCTACAACTCTACAGTCAACAGTGCTTCTTTTTTTTAATTAACAAATAAAATAAAATGACAAATTTAATTATATTAAATTAAAAAAAATTTAATTTAATTACAAATTTTATTTAATTAAATTAGAAAATCTATGTTTGAAAATAAAAAACTGTAAAAAATTCACTTTGGAAAATTAAAAATAATATTAACAAAAATTAAAAAATGAATAAAAAAACTGATAATGAATAATTAATAATATTAATTAAAAAATAAAATAAATAATTTGAATAGTAAGTAAAATATACAATCAGTTAATGTACTCTAACTCTTTCACACAGAAAAAAGGATCTCTTGCCTCCATTTGTTGTTATCGTCGACAAAAATAATTAGTAACAATTAGTTAACTAATTAAATTAAAAATAAAATCTAACAAGACGGACCAGATCATTTGTTTGGTTTCTAAAAGTGAATGCGAGTTTCAAAAACATCTTTGAGATGTTCAAGGCATATATGAATTATGTAGAATAATTTTATTTTAAAAGGCAGTTTTGGCTGCTTTGTTTGGCACACAAATAGCTACTTCCATCTTACAATACATGTCACTCATTTACCAGATGATGGTGGCAGATGCTCTGCATCCACACTACATGACCTCAATTTTTCTTCAATTGTTTCTAAAACTGTGTTTTTGGAACAAGAATATCTTTAGTACATATCTCTTCTTTTACGAATACTACCGATCGAATTTTAAACTGGACTTGCACAATGGTCTCATACGTCGTACGCTCTAAAGCAGGGATGGACAAACTACGGCCAAAAAAAGAGTCGTCAACCAGACATTATGACCAAAAAAGAGCCACAAATCTTAAAAAATTCTCCCCCGGGTTGAAAAAATTTGCTATTTAAGTACACATGCGGCCTTTCAAAGGTAAAATAGTTCTCAGTATGGCCATCACAGCAAAAAATTTGCCCACCCTTCCTCTAATGGAAGCAAGAGACGTTACCTCAACTGATGGTTTCCATTATTAATGTAAGCAGTGTAATGACGTAATTGAATTGCTTCCAGGTCGTCGTTCGTTCAGATCCAGCACTCCTTTCACTGTCTATATTTGATTCAATGATCGTACCTACTGAATTGCACAGGGATATATATATATGTATGTATAATATATATATATGTATATGTGTATAAATAATAAAAAATTTAAGAGACGATATTGTCAAATTTATTATTATTAGATAAAAAACATAACTACGGTTTAGGGTTAGAATTTAGATCCTTTTAAATTTCCATCAAGATCTTCCTATTTCATCAATTTCCCTCTGGCTGTCTCTCTATATACTTATGTATATATACATATATGCATGTATATATGCACATATATATATAATCAAAAAAACGAACTACAAACATGTTAACGCCAAACATTCGGTAGAATTTATAGAATATTGTAAAAGTTATGGTCTACCAGCATATATATATATATATATATATATATATATATATATATATATATATATATATATATATATATACATATACACACATAGGTTACCTGTGCGTGCGTGTGTGTGAACATTTGCTGAATTAGTTATTTATTTGTGTTAGCCTGCACTCATAGGCAAGGAAAGGAAGAAATATTTTTGGTATGTCTGATTGTTTATGTATATTTATTTACGTTGCGAATTATTAAAATTAATTCAACTTTCAATTCACTAAATTAAAAATATCTGAACAATTGGAAAAATGGATTAAAAATCGAACCCACACACTCACACACACACACACACACACACACACACACACACACACACACACACACACACACACACACACACACACACAAACAAACAAACAGACACACACACAAACAAACACAATTATTTATTTCAAAAAATGAAATGAAAGCCACAAATGTACGAAAATAAAAAAATCATTAAATAAAAATTGAGAAATTATGGTCACAAATTCAAAGTTACAATAGTTAAATAACGTATAGTTTTGTAAACATAGATAAATCAAAATAATTGCAAACTAACAAAAAAAAATGAAATTTCCACACAGGCAAAACATTTATTTTAAAAATAATATTGAACATTTTTACAATGAGCTATAAAATTGTAAATGTTGAAACTGCCACCGTTATAAAAATGTGTAAAATTATTCTTTCACAGAATGGCGCATCATATCCTCCCTATGATGACCGGCTCATTTTCAACAGCCTCCTTCATACTTCGCGCATTGCTGCCCTTCTTCTTACCGGAAACAATGAAGATGACGATACCTGCCAGAATGTAGAGGCCGACAGCAATGCAGCCCAGGTAATAGGAGTACCCACGCTCGTAATCAGCCAGTCGCATCAGACTGTTCGGTAGGTATCGCCGACCGTAGGCGAGGAAATGTTTGAACACCTCAATGCATACTATCGCACAACCAGCTGTCGTGAATTATTTGCTGTTTTTTATTTATTACTAGCTACAACATCTTTGTATACATGCTACATTATGTATGATCATGTAAAATAGAATTCTGTGTTTATCATTCAATTTTTTTTAAAGAACAAAACGAACTCTAAAATATAAACTTTATGAAATTTTTGAAAGTACCTGTTATAAAATAGAGACCACCCGCTAATCTCTTGAATATGTATCTGTTCAAAGTAAATAAAATATATCAAATGATGCCTACATTGAAACTTAATCTTATTTTCACGTTAATGTTCTAGCCCCAACCCATTGAGTGTATTTATTATATTGTAATGTTTTGAGAGCTGTGTATGGGTGAGAATGCAATCTCTTCAACAAAGTTCAAATAGCTTATCCATCAACACGCTTATTTTGTTTTCAGATGCTTCATTTGAATCGCGTTTGAATCATTTTATTAATTGCTTCTTTGACTGAAACATTTTTGAAAAAATTTTTTAATTAACAGAAATTCATTTTCAGACCAATAAGTTGCACATTTTGTAGAAATTTTTTCGAATAAGTTTAACGTCTTCAGTAATTTTTTCAACATATTAAAGAACGCTGAAATTTTTTTATTGATTTCTACATGAATTAATTTTTGATTGTTAGGAATTAAGAATTACCTAATGGTAGGCACTGAAATTAAAATCTTAATATAAACGATTATTATCAAACATTGCAATAATAAAACAGATTTATAGTGGGAACAAAACGTTGAACCTCACTCACCTCGGCTCCTTGATGGAGTACCAGGTAAAAAATATCGGCATGGACGAGATGACTAGTGTTATCACAGCAAATGCTGCTATCGATCGCTCATAATCTTTGCATTAAATTTTTATATTATTTTAAACTTTAATTTATATATTTATTAATATATATTTGAAATGTAATAAAATTTTATCTATGAATATTTTTATAGCGTGTTGAACCATTTTATATAAATAATGTTAAATGCTAACCGACCAATCGACCGATCAACAAATTACCAACTAGCCAGCCAGCCAACCAGCCCGCCAGTCAGCCAAGCAACCAAATTACCAACCACCGAACGATCAACCAGCCAACCGAGTATATAATGATCAGTTTCGTCATCAGCTTCAATTGTTTCTGACGTTGGAAAAAAATCTCGACCGGTGCATTGCCAGACTGTTAAGAAATCAGATTTTTCAATTTAATATCAATAAATAATATTACTGCTCGTCTTTCATCTAGTCCGATTCATCAGCATCTTTACTATACAAACAACACCCCACTAAAAAATTCTCCAATCACTCATTTCATTATGTCTTTGACAAATCATTTACGCGCGATTTGATTGAAACATTAGTTGGTACTTCTTACAAAAATCGAGTTTATAGAATGTATCTGGTTGAAGCTTTTTTAATGTTTGTAGTTTGTACATTTGTTAATAATCACGTCTATCTTTTTGGTTTAACCACAAATCAGGTTCATATCAACTTAGCTTCCTTACCGTTTCAGCAGTGAAAAAATTTGCATATTCATTAATGTGGGTTTTAGAAATGTGAAGTAATATTAATCGACATGAATTATAAAAGCAAGTAGTTATTTATTACTTCGCAACCATTCAGAAGTAGATATCGACTGTTGTAGTTCTTTATTTGTTGTTACTATCACTAATAAATTTTTGTAACTTGGAAATTAATAAAAAAAATATGGAAAAGCAAATAAACTACAATTCATGAACCTAAAAACCCCCATTTGATTTGGAACGCATGAAACAGAATATTAATTACGCAGATTGAAAAAGTGAACTTTTCTATCGACCACTGATTAGTTTAAGCGTCTGAAAATCATGTCTGTAGGCAAATAAAATGAATACCATTAGCGATAAAACATCATCAACATAACCTCGCCACATCACGTATTGATTGACTATTGAATATTTATAAAGACCGTTGGTACATTACCATCTATTTCTTGCACTTTCATTCTGTTATTAAAACAATCTACTCTTGTATATGTTACAGTTGCTATTGCTAACATATCATACTTGGTATAAATGTATTAAACACATCAGCACAAAAGATATATACGATCTAGATATCTCAATGATGTTTTATAAATTTCTTACCTCAAACTAACAATGTGTGTGTGCGTATTGACAATTCAAACACATCAACATATGAATTACAATGTTTACAGAAATCGATGCTATCAACGAAACAACGCTAGAAACATAAATATAAACAAAACGTTCATTGATGCTCACGCTGAGTTCATCGTGAAAATGCTGTATGCGATGAGTGGTAGTCAAACATTTGTTGGAAGCAGTTCGATGTATCTCGGTGCGTGTGCGTGTGTGCGTGCGTGCGTGTGTGTATATCCTCATTGTAATATTTTTTATGAAGTTTTATCAAAGTTAATTGCGGTTGGTCTATTTCTACCGTATCATTAGTGTAATGAAAGGCAACCCTGACATGATCCAAACAATCTTCCTTCCTAGCACTGCCACATGAAAACCCTTCGGGCTAAACCCTCTGAAATATTTGCATAACTTTTGTCAAAATCTACACAACTTATTATCTTATCGACAACAATATTGTTCTATTTTTCTTTCTTAATATCATTTTAGACTAGTATCATCCTCAACAGCAATGTCGACAGGCGACCACAATCAACGACCGTCGCCATGAAAATAAATCACCGCACCACCACCAGTACCACACCATCATCACATAAAGGGCGACCAACCTGTGTAAGGATCCCTGGCGGTCATGTTGTAGTACTCCAGCATGCAGTCTCTCCAGAGACCTCGCCTCCATTCCAACATAAACTTCCGTTCAGTGCTAACGAAGTAAGGTTCCGGCGGAATCATAATTGTCCAATCGTCCGTCAGTGAGGCGATGAGGAAGAGAAATGACGAGAGCAATCCAACCGCGAAGACGCTCCAGAGAATGACTTGCAGCTTCAAGTATCTTCTGTAGCGTTTTTTCTTGGTATCTTGTTTCTTTGTTGGCGTGTTTTTTAGAAGTGGCGGTTGATGTTTGACGGGGGGCAGGATGATCTGACGATGATCTGAGGACAATTCTAAAGGAGGCTTGCTTTCTGATGTCGTCAGCGCTGATTCAGATGTGTCTGACATTTCAACAATGGACCCCGTCCGTTTGGTAATCAACTTGAGTGGAAATGTTTAGTTTGATGTTCTAACAGAGGCCGAATTGTAATCACATCTTGATTTATTCCAGAAGTTTTAGATAACTAAATAATAAGTTGCAACCTGTTAAAAAAATAAAATATATAAAGAAAAGGAAAGTTTACGCCAACTCCAAAGCAAAAGTTTGTTTGAAATGATGTGAGAGGTTTTCGACATGAAACATCACAACATAAAAATGCAACGAAACACAACACTCAACATCTAATATATCTCATACAACGTACGCTGATGCTCCTACTACCGATGTACTCACATGTATGAATTGTATTTACATCTGCTCATTATGCTGTTCATCATTTAAACACCACAATCATCATCATGGTTATCATCGTCATCATCATCTTCACCATCTTCGTCATCATCATTTTCGTTATCACCATCTTCATCATCACCATCTTCATCATCATCTTCATCTTCATCGTCGTCAGCAACATCATCGTCTTATTCGATATCATCATATCATAATCGTCCGAACCGTTGTAAACTACAATTTTTGTCGTGTTGTATTTATTAAAGCATCATTATCATCAATGCGCGCGTTTGTTTCTGTGAAGTGAGAACATCTGTTCACTAGTTACCATTATCATCATCCTCATCCTCATCATCATCATCATCATCATCTTCATCATCATCATCATCATCGTTATTAAGCATCGTCATCACAATTAACATAATTGCAATTAGCAACAAAATTATTACCATGCACCTCATTCTCACTGATCCTCATCAACATCATCATCATCAACATCATCATCAACGCTCCAACCAACAAATTATCATCATCATCATCATCTCCATCTCCATAATCCTCTTTATATTCATCACGTGTCATCATTAAAGAGATAAGATGTTAATAGAAAAATTTTTACCAACCAACCAACCAACCTGCTCTGCTAGTAACAAACAACTCCGATTACAAAATGAATTAGCTAAGTTGCATCTGCAAGAAAAAATTAATATATATATATACATACAAATATATATATATATATATATATATATATATATAATTTATATCTATATATGGATACAATGATTGTATGATGGTCTGTATGTATGATGTGTAAATAGGCTTACCTACCTACATACATACATATATACAGACATACATACATACAGACATACATACATAAAATACATACATACATAAAATACATACATACATACAATACATTAAATTTAATACATTACATACATACATACATACATTACATACAATACATTATTAAAGACATACAATACAATGCATTTTATGACTTTTGTTTTTAATCATGGGCTCGTACATACATACATACATACAAACACACACACATACATACATACACACACATACATGCATAACATAGACAGACATATATACAGTATGTCTATTTATTTATTTATATAGAACAAAAAATAAGAAGCGTCAATAAATCAATTGAGTTTGCTTGTGTTTGTTAACCTGAATAAAGTTACAAAAAGCTTCAAAAACATACATACATGTAAAGAAACACGTAAATATATGAAAGTTAATAAAAAAGAACTTACGTGTTTTTTAATTATTTAGACGCTCATGTTGTATGAAAAAATTTATATATCCACAATTTTTTATACTTATAAATGCGTTATTTACTACTAGATATAAAAGTTTTCAACATATCAGGTTCATTCCATACGTGAATACATGCCATAGAAAAGAAAACACGTTAGGAGGCGCTACTCAGTCAGTCGAACTTCAGAAAGAGCGATTTATAATTAACAATATTTCTAGGCAAACTTGTGCATATAAACATATGTATGTTGTATTTATGTCTGTCCGTACAGCTGCCAGGTATGTTTATGTATGTATGTATGTATGTATGTATGTATGTATGTATGTATGTATGTATGTATGTATGTATGTATGTATGTATGTATGTATGTATGTATGTATGTATGTATGTATGTATGTATGTATGTATGTATGTATGTATGTATGTATGTATGTATGTATGTATGTATGTATGTATGTATGTATGTATGTATGTATGTATGTATGTATGTATGTATGTATGTATGTATGTATGTATGTATGTATGTATCAAATCAAATCAAATCAAATCACTTTTATTCAATCAAACAAAACAAAAGCATGAATGATTCGGAGACCAAAAAAAGAAAATTAATTCTTGTGGGCTCGGCCACCGTGCAGCTCAAAATTGCTTCTCAATGATTAAATAAAATTGTCAATAGGAGAAAATGTATCAATGTTAATGAAATATGTACACACTTATATACATATATATACATATACATTATTATCCTTGAAAAACAGAACTTTTCGTAATTAAAAAATTTTTCAGTTTATTTTTAAAAAGATGCAAAGTGTTACAATCTTTAATTTCTTGTGGAATCGTTTCCCATATTCCTGGGCCGGTGTGTTTCAAACTCATGCAGAGTACTTTAATTCTGGCTGGTGGGGCATAGAAAAGTGGCGTGTGGCGTGTAGTTCTTGCTTGAATGGAAGTTCCAAAAGTGAAAAAGTTTCTAAAAAATGCCGGCAATTGCTGACGTAGAAATCTAAAAATGAATGTTGCAACGTGGTAGATGAACAGGTTTGTATGTATGTATGTATGTATGTATGTATGTATGTATGTATATATGTATGTATGTATGTATGTATGTTAAAACCAAAACATGATGAGTGACACTGAACCGTCAAACATCAAGTAACAAATGGATTAACACTTTGATTTGTCGTTAATTGCACATGTCGGCATTCAGTTGTATATTTTCAAGCACACAGACACGCAGGAACCGCTGCAACAAGCACGAAATGTGGTTGGTTGCAAAAAACAGTTCCCTGCTGTCGCCTGATCTGACACTGATCATTTTGCATATTTCCTTAAGAAATTTAAGGGTGTTGGGGTCCATCGGGCCAAGAACCTCGATGCATATTGGCAAGAATTCCATCGAGGGGAGGGCATTCCCATATTTTTTCATTGTATGTATGTATGTATGTATGTATGTATGTATGTATGTATTGTTATAATACTCGCTGTCGTAACCGCTATGACTACGTCAACAAACAAATCAAATATCGCTTTAAATAATTCACCGAATCGCTATTCACGAAATCACAAAATCACGAATTTCACAAATCACGAATCTTCTTGCGACGTGCGCTTATATACTCTTCGCAAGCGTCGTTTCTAGATTCTTCTAGATGGTCCGATTCTAGCATACTCTAGTCTAGAATGCTCCAGTCACTAGATCGTTCTAGAATACGCTAGAATCTAGTGCGTTCGGTAGCACGGCTATAACATTACCCCCTTCTTAGTTCTGTTCGTCCCAAACAGCTTACGTTCCGGTGTCCGCATGGTACGGAGCCAGTCTATCCTAATGAACGATCTTCATTCTTGCTCTCGGCTTCCGATATTCCTGAATACGGTAGACGACGTCATACAAGCGGGTGATGACTTGATAAGGTCCTTCCCACTCTCGCTGGAGCTTTGGAGAACGTCCTTTCTTTCGCTGTGGGTTGTACAGCCAAACTAACTCGTCGACAGCAAAACCGCCACTGCTTCCTTTCAAGTCGTATCTGGTTTTGGCCGCCTCCGTGTTTTTCATAATTTTAAGGCGTACGTAACGGTGGATATGGTTTAATTGCTGTCGAAGATTATCCACGTATTCTGTTAATGGTTGATGTGGTTCAGGTGGTACGCCATATTTCACATCAGCTGGAGTTCTTAAGGTAGTCCCAAACAGAACTTTTGATGGCGTTTCTCCAGTAGTTGTGTGGATATCACTCCGGTATGCCATAAGAAACAATGGTATATGACGATCCCAATCCCGTTGATTTTCGTCGACTACTTTTGCCAGATGTTCAATCAGGGTTTGTTTAAATCGTTCCACCATACCGTCAGACTGTGGGTGAAGAGGTGTCGTTCGAGTTTTGTTTATACCCAGCAGCTTGCACATTTCACCAAACAGTTGTGACTCAAAATTTCGACCTTGATCTGAGTGGAGTTCCAATGGGACACCATATCGACTAATCCAATTGAGTACAATTTCCTCAGCGACGGTACATCCTTCTTGGTTGGGTATTGGAAACACTTCAGGCCATTTGCTGAAATAGTCCGCTACAACCAGAATGTAACGGTTTCCATAATCTGATACCGGAAAGGGTCCAGCAATATCTATAGCAATTCGTTCAAAGGGGACACCAACATTGTAGATTTGCATTGCTCCTTTTAGCCTTCTTTTGGGTCCTTTGACTGAAGCGCACGTGTTACATTTTCGACACCAGCTCTCTACATCTTCTCTAACGTGAAGCCAGTAGAATTCTTCTCGTATTTTGTCAAGGATCTTGTTCACTCCTAAATGTCCCCCAGAAGGGCCGCCATGCATTTCATCAAGGATTTCCGTCGTTCTACTTCTTGGTATTACAACTTGCATGCGGTGTTTTGATCCATCAGCTGATTCCCATTTTCGTTTCAGCAAATCCCCTTCCAAATACAATGAGTCCCACTGAGCCCAATAACCCTTTAACACGGCACTATATTCTGAGATGCTTTGCCAGTCCGGTCGCTTGCCCTCATTCTTCCATGTGATCAGATGTTGTAGGTCCTCATCCGCAAACTGTGCATCAGCAAGATCCGTCGGTGTCCAACCGTCATCCGTTGATATTGTTGTTGCTCTTATGTCTTCCGATTGTATCTTCTCCTCGTGACGACAGCAATATTTGCATCCTGGTAAACATGGTCGACGTGAGAGAGCATCAGCATTACTATGAGTTGTTCCTTTCCTTCCTCGAAGTCGTACATTTGTAAAGGCTCCAACCATCGGGCCATCTGTCCTTCAAGATCCTTGAAGTTGAGGAGCCATCTTAACGCCGCATGATTAGTTCGGAGATGAAATTTCTGTCCATAAAGGTACTTGTGAAAGTGTTTTGTTGCATTGACTATTGCTAGTAACTCCTTCCTGGTCACACAATAGTTTCGTTCAGGCTTTGTGAATCCTCTGCTATAATACGCTAGCACCTTTTCTTCTCCGTCTATATGTTGTGACAAAACGGTTCCGATTCCGTTGTTACTTGCATCAGTATCTAACACAAACGTCT